GCCGTTACAAAAATACATGCAGTCCTGATGGTGTGCGTGTGTGCGCACATGCATGGTATCTAAAGCCCAGGTGTGTGTGTGTATGCATGTGTGTACGTGTGTCATATCTAAAGCCCTGGGGAGCTTGTTCCACACAGACTCTGGGGCCCACTCCAAAGCTCCAGCTCCAGACGGATGTGCTGGCCCGTTATCAGAGCAGGCGCCCTAAAGAAAGAGCTCATATTAGTATTGATTTGGGTGAAGAGAAGAGCAATGTACCAAATATGAGTGATCAACATGGTGGCACTGAGGAAGAGGAAGACAGAGAGAGGTACATGGAAGGTATAGACAGAAAGATAAACCCTTTTGCACATACAGTCCTGTGTTGTCAGTGAAGGCAAACACGATATACAGGTGGATAGATGGCTGGACAGGCTGAACTATCAGGTATGTCTATGCAGCGGGGACTGTACCCAAGACCATATATAGGGTTGGCAAACAATGGTTCTACAACTGTGTTTGTATGTTCTGTAAGAATTCCCAGGGGTATAGTAGAGCTGATAAGGGACAAGGTTGTAGTCACTTTTTGGTCACAGCCAGCTACCCAGAGGGAGCGAGTAGTTGAACCTGTGGGCTTAGGACCACGATTGCAGAAAACATCAAACTCAATTGGCATAACACACTACACAAAACATTTTTCCACCTCCTACTTTGGCGAGTAGCAACTGGGATCTTCAAAGCTTGCAAGCAGCCATCTAGATGCAACGATGGGTTTCTCCTCATCCAGAGCAAAGAAGAATGAAGAAAACGAAAGATTCATGGAAACAATTAGCTCTCACAACTGGTATACTATACGATCCTCAGCCAATACGACTATGAGACCAGAAGAGCTAGATGGTGCCCGGCTAGCACTGTCAACCACACGGAAGGGGGATCTATGTAGGAGATCCTGGATAGAGAGGGAGAACAATGTGGAACAAAACTCAAAATTATTTAAAGAAAAAAAAAAGGGGGGCAGGTTTTGCTGGTCCGATAGAGCCTGGTGGAACCCCTGAGACTATGGTCCCTAGCTGCCCTTCAGGTCTGGAATTGAACCCATACGTGTGGCTTCCAGCCAAACAAAAAACAGGCATATGAGTTGAACATTTACCAGAGGTAGATACACTCCTTGGAGAGAACAATCATGGGAGAAAAGAACGGCTGCTTATACACAGGGAGACAGCTCAGGGGGCAGGAGTGCGTGGAGGGATGGACACAGGGATGAGGTAACTAAGGGAGGAAGTGGGAGGGGAGCTGTTGCATTGGGGTAAATTGTAGTCAATGTCATGAAACAAAGTGTATGTGAACTGCTGTATGGAAAGTGAATTTCCTCTGTAAACTTTCACCCAAATCAAAATTTTTTAAAAAAGAGCTCAGAGACCCTGTTCACCTGGGTTCAACCATTGCCATCTCCCACCTTCATGCTCCCGCCCCAGCCTGCCTGCCTGCCAGTAAGGGGGGAGTCCCTCCTCCACAGGCTTATCTGGGTGCAGGGGGTGCTGCTGGGTTTAGTAAGGTATGGGTCACTCATCAGACCCCCGTGTTGGAAACCCTGTGGGGTCCAGCAGCCGCAGCCCTCAGGGGTCTGGTGCCCAACAGCCCCTCCTTACAAAGTTTGGAGTTGGCTGGCCAGCTCTAAGTAGTCACTGACCCTGCTCCCCATGCCTCTGAGGCTCCCTCTGCCAAGGGCACCAAGGCCACGGGGCCTTCCACCTCCTCAGCAGCTTCCCTCCTCCCGCAATGCCCTGCCACCCCGGGACACCTGCCTGGCCTCAAAGCCCTGCTCAGACTGCAATGTCCAGACAGGTGCTTGCTCGAATGCAGTTAGAGCAGTGTGAGGAGGCCAGGGTCTGGCGCGGAGCCCTGTTCCCTCCCGGAAACAGATCCTCCCCTCCTCCCTGGGCCATCTTACCTCCGCACACCCTGTCTCGCCCTGACCTGAGCTTGCAACAGCCCCTTCCTTACTCCCTGCTGCTGGGGCATGACGGCCACCTCCTGCCACCCTTTGTTGTACAATGACTGGGGCAGACTTCTCTCCCCAGGTCTGCACTGCTGTGGGCCCAAGTAGGCCCTCCACCCTCCCCAGGGTCTTCGCACTTGCTGCCCCCTCAGCCTGGACTGTCCTCCCCAGGCTCCCGTGGCCCCTTGCCGCCAGGGCCTCCGTCACACAGACTCCCTTCTTAACTGCCTGCCTCTGTACCATGTCTGACAGTGCAGTATCCATGTGTGTGTCGTGAATGAATGAGCGAGTAACAAGCCAGGCCCCTGGGGAGGACCCAGAGGGACATCCAACACCCAGCACTTGGAGCTCAACTAAAGAACATGGGAGACCACCATCAAGACTTATAAATCATACTGTTTTTCTTTTAAAACCAAAAAACCCCCCAAAACCAAACCAAACCCAGAACCCTGTACCCCAAACGAGCCAAATGTAACAGATAGGTCAGCCAGTAACACGAGGACAAAAAGACACGTCGCAGCCACACACATCATTAACAGCAAAGGGATGCCACGTTCTGGTCGGCTGATGACACGGCCCGTGGCAGGGCCAAGCTAGCAGTACACCGGAACGCCAACACAGAACCCCTGGACCGAGGAACCGATGAACAATGAACGTGGTGCACTGTGGCAGCCTTCAAGTTACTGAGGCGTTAGGACAAGACAACAGTGACACAGTGAACAGACACTTGCTATTCCAGTGTTTGCTTAACACAAAAACATTGAAAACCCACAAAGGTGAACCCTCAGGTCACGGCACTCGAGAGGTCAGGAGCAGCAGTCCTCAGCAGCCCCCGTGGCCCGGCCCCCAGAACCCCACATCACAGGCAGGGGAGGCGGGGGCTGCGGCATGGGCCTGACTCAGCACCACCACGGGAAACGCCCCCTCCCATCCGGAGTGGAGACGCGGGCCCAGAAGAACCACACAGCCTATTGGACTTCGGAGCGAGCCCACGGCCTCCCAGTTCAGAACGGTAACCCTGGTGGGGTCCCTGTGCTGGAAAGGAGGATCAGCTGCCACCTGTGTGGTTTGTTGAACGTCCCCCTGCACTCAGAGCGCCCCCAGTCTCCACGGCTGGTACCCAGCAGGGTGTGGGGGCTGCCAGCCAGGGTCTCCAGCAGCTTGTGTAGCCTCCTCCCCACACTGCTTGCCAGCTTGCTCGGGACCCATCAGTGGTTCCCAGGCCCAGGTGGGCGGCAGCTCCTGAACCAGCAGCCGTGTCCGACACGGGAACACCAGGCAGCAGTGGGAGGAGGTAGCTCAGTCACCCCCTGCAGGGGCTGCCGCCCACCCTGCGTATTGCTGAAATTCCTGGTCGCCTGGTCTTAGAGAACATCTCCTCTCCTAACAGGTCCCCTGGGCCTGGTCAGGAGTCCTGGTGGTGCAGGGGTTAAAGCAGTGGGCTGCTAACCAAAAGGATGACAGAGCCATCAGGCTTCCCAGGAAAAGGCGAGGCAGTCTGCTTCCACGGAGGTTTGCAGCCTGGGACACCCTGGGGCCCTGTTCTACTTCATCCTGTAGGGACATACCAAACTCACTGCCATTGAGTCGGATCCTACTCGTAGTGACCCCTCCTTGCATTTCCAAGGCGGTATCACTACGGATACCTCCTTCCGAGGAGTGGCTGGTGGGTTTAAACCGCCAGCCTTCTGGTTAGCTGTCAAGATCCTTAGGCACTACGCCACCAGAGCCAGAAGTTGGAATTGATTCAACAGCAGGTTTGGGCTTGACGTGGGCACAGCCAGGACAAACCTGCTGGCCAGGCCCCCAGCATAGCCTCGTCCAGAGGCTTCTCACTGGGCTGAGGGAGACATGCAGTAGCCTTCTTCCAGGTGATGCCAGGTGGGATGGGGCAGTTGTGCAGGTGACCAGTGCAGGGCACAGCCTCTCCGTCAGAGCAGGGCTGCTGTGCAGTAAGCTGGAACCACAGCAGCCAGTTCTTCAGGGCAGGACCCCAGGGTAGGGGGATGCTGTCTGCCGGGAGCGAGCAGCCCACTAGGGTCCCAGCCACCACTTGGCTGTCTTTCCCATTTCCGTCCATCTCTAAGCCTCCCAGAATGCGCTGAGAATGGCTGGGGGCCAGTTCTGCAGGGCCGTGCCTCTGATCCAGCTGCGGATGTGTCCATTCCAGAGGGTCCCAAGTGAGGGGCAGCTGCGGCCTTGTGAAGCATGTCCCAGGCAGTGTGACATCTGCCGCTGGCCTCCAGTCAACACCAGGGCCAGCTTCCAGATCTTTCCACGGCACTGGGGCTAGGACAGAGCCAACCCAAGACTTCCCATTCTCCTACGAGCGGTTGTCTAAGAAGGACTAGGGTTTCAGGGGGTGTCTTTGTCCTCTTGAGGTGGGGGGCTTCTGGCGCCCAGGGGGTGGTTTGAAGGAATGTCACTACCTCTGTAACAGTGAATGATGAGGAAACACGTGCTGAGCCGAGCCCCATGGGGGCCAGCCACACGCCCACAGTGCAGGTCCAAGTGGGAGGAAGCCGGGTCACTCTCAGTAGTTTCAGTTCCAGGGCTGGAGTGTTTGGCTCTCAGAACCCCCCTCCAGGGCCTGGAATCGCCATCGGATCCTTCTGGAGACGCGGGGGATGTCGGCGCAGCGTCAGGGGCCCCTCCCCCATCTCCTCTCACCTTTTTCAAAAGTGATCACCTCAGTGACTCTACTTGGCCCAAAATTCAAGTTAAAAAAAAAATAAAATAACTAAACGAAGCAAGGAGGGAGCAAAACCCAACATAATGAAATAACGTCCCCCCGACTCCTGGTCAGAGCCCTGGGCTCCGGCGGGCTCCACCAGCTTGTCGTCCGGGACCGACTTCGTACCAGTTCTCACAGCAGCACCGGCCGCTGGCCGTGAGTGGGGAGGTGGCGGGGTCTGGGTGCTGGCAGCACTCGGCTACACTGGGTGTTGGGGACTGAGTTGATTTTCAGGGAGCAGGTGTTTAGAATGACATCTGGGCATCTTCTGTCCTTCAGTGTCCCTGCCCTTGTGGCTATGTCTCCTGGGGGACCACCTCCATGAGCTTCTGGCAAAAGACGGTGGTGGAAACTGTGGGGGAGAGGGCCGAGTTAGTTCAGGGCCCCCCAAATGCCCCTGGGCTGGCGGTGACAGAGCTGCGGGGCTGGGCCCCCCTGTTCCTCCCTCACCCGTCCCTTGTCACCCATCCCTCCCTCACCCATCCCTCGGGGCTGGCAGTGACAGGGCTGCACAAGCTGGGCCCACCCGTCCCTCCCCCACTTGTCCTGCTCAGCCCCCAAAGCGCTAAGAGGTCAGGGATCAGGTATTTCTGTGGAACTTCCTGGTTCGCAGACAGGTAAGCCACACAAAGGGTGTCTGCAGGCATTCGTCTGCGGTCCCATCTGTGGAGCAACCATCTGTGGATACCTGTCTCTGGTCCTGTCTACAGCCCTGTCTGTGGCCCTGTCTCTGGTCCCATCTGTGGTCCTGTTTTCAGCCCTGTCTCTGGTCCCATCTGTGGAACACCTGTCTGTAGCTCTGTCCACAGCCCTGTTTCTGGTCCCATCTGTGGAACATCTGTCTGTGGCTCTGTCCGCAGCCCTGTTTCTGGTCCCATCTGTGGAACATCTGTCTGTGGCTCTGTCCGTGGCCCTGTGTCTGTCGTGGGGTTTGTTGCAGAGGAACGGTGCCCTGCGTTCTGACTTTCTAAGCCACCTGTCAGATGTGCCTGAGGGATCTGGTGAAAGGCAGGTGCCTGCTCTCTCCCCCAACCTGGCTTCAGAACCCAGGACCACATGAGACCTGCAAGGGCACCTCCCCAGGCTTCAGGTTCTTAAGCATGTCGTTGGGTGGGAGGCCTGTCTGGTGGCCCTTCCTGTGGGCCCTGCACCCCTGGGCCTTGGGGACAAGCATGGCCGTGTTGGCAGACACCCTGCTCCCGTCATCCAATGACATTCCCCGTCACCTCCTGGGCAGACTCGGGCTTGGGACTGGGGCTGTTTCCTGCTATAGGCTCATGGCAAGGATCCAAGTGGGGTGAATAGGAGCCCACAGCTCATGGCTGGAGCCAGAGTCCCCAATTGCTGGCTACAGCTTAGTCTCCAGGGGACACCTTGGGCCTCCCGCACTGTCACTACTGCCCCTAGAGAATTCAGGAGCACCCTGTTCTCATGGGAAGTGGTAGAGGCCCCCAGCACACATGCCCCTTTCTGCAGTCCGTGCACACGGACACCAGCTGGCACTTGGCCTGAAGCCACTGGGAGCCTCAGGTTGCCGTGCAGAACGCCATAGAGGCTGCTGCCATGTTTTTCAGGGTGAGACGGCTGTGTGAGCCAGGGCGGCAGGGGCAGGGCCGGAGCAGTGGGGGTAGAGTCTGGGGCTGCATGAGCCAGGGCTGGGTGTGCCAGGACAGCAGGGGCTGGGGCTGTGGGCAGGGTGGCTGCCCGGGGCCGGGGGGGAGGAACAGCTACTTGACTGAAGCAGCCTGGTTTTCTGGACTCCCTTGTTCTGGGATTGACTGGGCACCTGCTAGGAGTCTCATCAGTGAGACACAGGGCCAGTGTCACTGTCACACACACGGAGTGAACACAAGCCTCCCTGGTACCCCTGGCAGGACTCATGTGTACCCCAGGCACGAGGTGCAGGGTCTGAGGCCCTGGACAGCGTGTGGTGTGGGAGCGCAGGCCCTGGATGGCGGGTGTGTGGTGTGGGAGCGCTGGGTCTGAGGCCCTGGATGGCATGTGGTGTGGGAGTGCTGGGTCTGAGGCCCTGGACAGCGTGTGGTGTGGGAGCGCTGAGTCTGGGGCCCTGGACGGCGTGTGGTGTGGGAGCGCAGGCCCTGGACGGTGTGTGGTGTGGGAGCGCAGGGTCTGGGGCCCTGCCGGGCCGTGGTGTGCACGTTCTGAGGGCTGCCAGGCAGCGTTGCCCCATGTGGGTGAGGTACTCACAGATGCCCTGCAGCAACCACTTGGGCTTGTTCCTCCACCAGACCCCAAAGTAGTAAACAGGGAGGCCGCTGAGGATGATGGCAAACCCAATGCCACACTCCACGGGAGTCTTCCAGAAGGAGACGGCGATGAGGAAAAGGCAGGCCAAGATGAAGAACACGGGCAGTGCCAAGTTGACCTGGGGAAGCAGACAGACAGGGTTGGCCGGGCAGGGGAGCCAGGGGCATGGCAGCTACTGCTTTTTATGGCAAATACACAGTCAATGGGATACTGGCTGCTTCAACAGTCCCCACACGTGTGACTCGGCGCCACCACGTTCATGTCGCTCAACCGTCACCTTCACCTGTCCCCAAATTTTAACAGCATGCCCAGCACGGTGTCCCCGAGGCAGTGGTGACTGCCAACCCTTCTGTCTGCATTCTCAGCCCATCTGTCCCAGGGCCCAGAACCTTCCACTCGCTGTCCCCAGGCACCTCAGCCTGTCTTCATGCCCTTGCCAGACAAGCCCTTCATCTTCTGCTGTGGGACCCTCACTTCTCACTGACTGGCATCCCAGGACACCCCCGCACCTATGCCGGCAGGCTCTAAGCCTACTCAGCCCATCTGGGCCAGGGCAACAGTCCCTGTGGTTCTAAGGGCTGCTGTCTGCCAGCCCAGAAGCACTGTCCTCAGAGGACCCATTGGGCTTCCCGGACCTGCCTTGAATAAGGTCTCAGTGCACCTCCCCCTGTGGCTTCCTGAGAGTGGGACTGTCCCACTCACCACTCACCCTTAGGCAGCCACGGCGCCTGGCATGCTGTTACCCACAGCTCAAAAGCTGGGTGTGGACCAAGAACACAAACAGCCAGGGCTTCTCTGGGGACGGTGGCTAGTGCCCACATCACAGGCTGGGACATCGCCACCACCCACCCCTAGCCACCCACAGCCACCCTGAGGGGCAGCCCTGCCAGCACTGATGGGCAGACCTCGGGCCCGAGAGCAGACGCACAGGCGGGAAGCGGAGGGGCAGCACGTGTTCAAACAGCCTCCAGGTGGGCTCCCCCTCAGCTGCGGGGCTCCCTGGGGTACCCACTGTGCCCTGGCGCTGAGCCACCCTGCCAGCAGCCCCAAGACAGCCGAGCGAGGGCCGCAGGCGGTCAGCAGGCAGTGGTCAGACACCTCCTCCCACAGCGACCAGGGCGTCGCCTGGCTGAGCCCTCCTGCTTCCTTTCTGGAGAGACAAGGTGCTCATGGCCCGCTGTCCTCCAGCACGCAGTGAACAGGGACGGGAGCACTTGGCTTCCCCTGGATGCAGATGGAGCCGTGTGGCCCTCAGAAGGGGAGAAGACCCTCCCTTACACTTGGGCACAGTGTCCACTTGGCCCCTATGGCCTCACCAGCCCCTTCCCACCAGGATTCGCTCACAGACCTTACCAAGGAGCCGACCCCAGCTACCTTGACCCCTGCTGCCCCCTGCCAGTGCCAGCCTCTACCATTCTTGGTTGTGCCCTTCGAGGGAGTGCATGTGCTAGGAGGGCAGGGCCTGCTGGCCACACCTGGTCCGATAAATAGCACAGACTGAACCCATCAACTCGGTGGCTCTGCACGTCCGCCTGAGGTGTGTGCACCCAGCCATCTCGCTCAGCATGCCAGGACCCATGGGGAGCCTCTACCTCTGGCTCACAGCATGGGGGCTGAAGCTTAGAGAGGGACACTCTGGCTTCCGCACACGTCCCGTGCCACGGCCCAGCTCCCTCACCTTGATGGGCCGCTCCAGCTCGGGCTTCCTATAACGCAGCCACATCATCCCAATGATGGCCAGGGCTACACAGAGCCAGTTGAAGAAGCTAAAGAAGTTGATGACGGAGAAGATGTCATTGGAGAAGGCGTAGAGTAGGGTCATTGCGCACTGAAAGCAGAGAGACCATGGCCGGTGAGGCGGAGGGGCCAGAGGAGCGCCCACGGTGGGCGTGAGCCCACGGCTGAGCCCTGGCTGGGTGCACAGTGGGTGGGTGAGGCAGGTAGGTGGGCGGGAGTGCTCACGGTGGGGGTGAGCCCTGGGAGGGTGAGTGGGTCAGGGGCTGAGATAATGAGCTACGTAGCAACAGAGAACCAATGATCATCATACGGCCCAGAAGGGAGAGATGTGAGGTAAGTGGAATAGACGTGTGATGGGATCCCATCAAAACACCAACAGCACGTGTGTGCATCAGTGTTCATTACCACGTGTGTGTGAGCATTCAATATGTGTGTGCTTGTGAGTGTTCAACACCACACGTGCAAGCATTCAGTGTGTGCACTGATGTGTGACCATACGTGCAAGCATTCAACAAATGAGTGCGTTACATGTAAGTGTTCAACACGTGTTCACTACATGAGTGTTCAACATTTGTGTTTAATATGTGTGAGTGTTCGACACGTGTGTGTTCATTACGGGTGAATGAGTCGGGTCAGACTCCACAGCACGTAACAACAACAACATTCACATTTGTGTATGTGAGTATTCATTACCACATGCGTGGGTATCCAACACGTGTGTGCTCGTGAGCATTATTTACCAGGTATGAGTGTTCAATACGTGTGGGCACACGTGTGAAGACTCAATACTGCATGTGTGAGCACGCACCTACACACCTATAAACACACCCACCAAGCTCCAGAAAGACACCTGGCAAACCATGTGCTAGAAACTGCAGGTCTCTCAGGGAGGTGGGCATTTCCGTTTTACATGCTCCCACATGGTATGAATTTTTACAACGACCACACACGGTTTTTGGAGTTAACGTTTTTCAGAATCCTCGTGCTCTCTGGTGTTCCATGGCCCACGGCAGTACATGCAGGATATGTGGACACCCTAGTGCTAACCTGTCTGCCACACAATCTCGGTGCCCACCCATTCTCTGCTGGCCACCTCTGATCTGCAGACCAGTTCGGGCTGCGGGCCAGGCCTCCCGGAGCCTCAGGGTGTGTGAGGGAGCAGCTTGCCTGCCGCCTCCCTCAGAGTGTGGCTGTACTATGCGTGCTCCCCTGGGGACGGCGGGCAATGGGCTGGGCTGCGGCTTACCGTGAACACAAGAGACGGCATGGGGGTCAGGAGCCTCGGGTGGATCATGGAGAGGACAGAGGGCAGGTGGCCCTCCCGGGACCCCACAAAGAAGAGCCTGTGGACAGAGTGGAGTGGTGTTCAGCCCCAGTGGAGAGCCCCTAGGTGTAAAAGCCACAAGATGCCAGAGGAAGGAACAGGGTGGGGCTGGGGGCCGCTCGCAGGCGCTCAGGCTGGCTAGCGTTGGACACTGGCTTTCCTGCCACCTTTCTGCAGCAGGACCTCAGTGACCCAGCTGCGAAGGAGGAAAGCAGGGCCTCTCACCCCACTTCTCAGTCTGGGGGCCCCAGAAACCGTGCGTCTTTGGGCAGCAGGGGAAGCAAAGGCCCCTCCTTCAGCTATGCCGGTGACATGCACGCTGTGAGAGCGGAAACTGCAGGCCTGCGTCCCCGGGCACCCGGCGCTCTCACCTTGAGGACGTGAAGAGTGACCCATTGACAGACCCGAAGCAGGACAGGCCCACGAAGACAGGGATGATCCAGGACATGACTCCCAGGTGGTAGTTGCCGAAGTCCTAGGGAGACAGACGTAGGGACATGAGTCCACACACCCTGGCTGGCAGCTCCAACAGGACATGTGGGGCCAACGGGGTGCCAGGTGGCCATCAGCCTTACTCCCAGACCTCACAGCAGAGATCTCGGCCTCTGCCCCCCAACCCCCTCCCTGGGGCAGCACCTTGGAACCCCCTGGCCACACCAGGAGCTCTGGACGCTCCCTGCAAGCCCGGCCACCAGGCACGGCAGCCATCATCCTGTCCAGCCAGGCTGATTCGACACCTGAGCCCTCGCGCCAGGACAGCGCCTCCGTCTCTCCGGCCAACCCCCCAGGTCCCTGTCTCACCACAGCCACAGCCTCAGACGCCAGCATCTGCTCTGTGGACAAGGTGGTGAAGTAGGCCAGGTTGGTGAGCACGTACACCAGGGTGACAATGGGCAGGGAGATGATGATGGCCAGGGGCAAGTTCCTGGAAGGGATCAAGGGACGAAGGGCTGAGCCTCCGTCCAAGAACGCAGGTCCCCAACACGCACGGCAAGCTGCCTCAGAGCCTCCACCCGGGGACGCGGCAAACCCAGGTCCCCAACACGCACGGCAAGCTGCCTCAGAG